GATTCATAAAATAAGAATTGCAATAAGAGGTGAAAAACAAAAGTAAAAGAACCGCAGTGAAGCAACTTCAACTGCAGCCACAAACCCATAGTGTGCATCATCATGAGGCATATACCAAAAAAAAAAAAAACAACAACAACAACAGCAACAGCCTCATCGCCATCGTCGTCTTCATCGACTACACGATTGTCGATCGTATTTGAGATTTTGTCTGCCCATTGCTGTTGAGCAGCCGCTTTGTCAGAACAGCCAGGAGGCCCGGCAAGGCCAGGAGGGCCAGCAGCGAGGGAGTTGGTTGCAGGCGGGCCATGGCCATGATTTTGTTGTTGTTGCTATTGTTGTTTTTTGAAGGCAACCTTCGCGCACGCGCGCTTTGTTCTTGCCAAATATAAAATGAAATATTTATCGCCATTAGAGCCTGATTAGCTTCGGGCTGGTTGTTGTTGCTGGGGCGTTAAAAGTTATGTTTTTTTTTTCATTTCACACACCACTTTCGACTGGCTTTTCATTTTCTACCGTGGAGTTAATAAGCTTTGGTGTGATTGAAAATTGATATGTTCATTGAATTATGCTTGCTGGGCTTTTCTCGCTGTTCGCCATTCTGTGTTCAAGACGTGTCAATAAACTACCGCCGACAATTACTTCGTGTTGTTGTTGTTGTTGTTGTTACATCATGAAGCGAAGCTGTGCGATAAATTTGTTTGATAAAAGCCAACTTTTTAATACTTGTCATGCTCGGCTCAGCATAAGTGGGCGTAGGGCTCTTTGTACCCATTGGATGTGAAAGCAAAATTGTAAAGTTTCTCAATTGATTGGATGGATTATGTGCGTGAATATAACAAATGGCAATAGGTCCACATACGAGTATATTGTGTATATTGTGCGAATTGCCGTTTGGCAATGAAAATACAAAAGAAATTAACGAGCCTTAAGTCGGCTTTGCCATTTCTTTCAATTTCTACTGAACAGCTGTATTCCTATTCAACGAGTTAATTATTAAAATATTAACTGACATTCGCGCGCACAGCATCTTTAATGAACTGCCAATTATTGTACATTTTTTCTATAATTAGATTGAAATTGAAATCATTTTAAAACTCATTTGGGCGCATATTTGGGAAGACCTTAGAAATTGAGCTGACTCTAGCTTTTAATAAATGGAATTAGAAGAAAATGGCGAAAACCAGTAAAAATAGAGTTTTTTAGAGAAATGCTTTAAAGTTTCTGTAATATACTTGTAGAAGAAATCTTCAGCGATTTGAAAGAAATGCTCAAGAAATGCTAAGCTTGTTGGTTATTTGCTGAACATTTTACCAGGCATGGAAAATTGTGAAATCTACGCATAGCACGTTAAATAGACTTTAATTACATTGCACATATATGCCTAACTAATTCATTTATAGGCAGAAGGATGCGATTTTTTCTTAAGGCTTATCTCTTTTATGCATTTCTAGACATTTACAAAACAAATAGATTATAAATAAAACAATCGTGCAATCAGAGAATTGTTGTTACAATTTTAAGCAACATTAATTAAGCAACTTTAAGCATAATTAATTAATTAAATGCTCTGTAATATTTAAACTTGGTAAATGCGTGGCTCAAGTAATTGAAAACATTTTAAATAATGTGTCCATCTCTAATTTCATGCTTTAGTTAAGCTTCCAACCATGGCGGACTAAGCTGCTTTGCGGCTGTTGGTTTCCGTTGCACTGCTTGCCATTCAACAACTGCTTGTTAAAGCAGTAGGAAACGCTTTCTGAAAGATTTGAATAAAAAGTGTAAGCAATCATAAAATAAGCAATATTTGCATCTTTCTACCACTAAGAGAAATATATTGTTTATTGTTTCTTTTACTTATATAATAAAGAATATTGTATGCATTAACTAGTATTATTTATTTTATAAGCATGTTAATGAAATGTATTCAGAGATATGAAATGCTTCCTAAGAGTGACTGTGTCAGTTTAATTCTATTATTCGAAAATTGCTCAAAACTTTTACAATATTTTTAAATAATATAAATATATTTAAAATAACTTTTTTTTCTTACAAAATCAACTACTATTTGTCGCTGGTCGACTTCAAAAGCTCAATTCGATGTTTCTGATGTTGTTTTCTCCGAACTTGTATCATTTATCCAATTTTTCCATATAATAAGTATCAACTAATAGATGCCTATTTAAAAACCTGAAATGGAAATGTTTGCCTTTGTTGTTTTTTCCTAAGTTTCAACCTTTTCGCATGCATTATTAAAATTTTTGTTTTCATTCCAAACATGTACTAGAAGTTTTCGATAATGTTTTTTCAAAATATGCAGTTCAGCTTGGCACTTTTCCAGCTAGGACGTTTCCAATTTTCCCATCTGAGCAATTAAATTTATGTATTTTCATTTGTCGAAATGCAAATACAATTATTGTAATTACTCAAACTAGAAACTTTAGTGGCGTAAACAAAGTGCGAGCATTTCCAGATATTTTTGTTTGCTTGGCACTGCGGCCTTTTTTGTGCTCTGCTCCGTGAACTTTGGGCAAAAGTTGCAGCTAATCTGGCAGACATGCACCGAGACTTTTGGCAGTAACGTCGAGCTACTTACCCAAACAATCGGCAGCTGGAACCCAACTTTGACAATAAACATTTGGCAAACAACATGGAATAGCGACAGCGACACGGCGTTAGTTACATTCGCCTTGTTGTTTCTAACTTTTTGTGCAATTTTTTCATTTTCTTCATTTACTCGTACACCCGTATATGTTCGCACATATTTTCTGTTTTCTTTTTGTTTTTCGTGTTTTCCGAGGACGCTTTTCGAATTTTTTCAATTTGCAATCGCAAGTTTCTTGCGCTGGCCCTGCTGCTGCTGTTTTGAAGCTTTTGTTTTAAGTTATGCGGACAAAAGCGTCGCCGCCACTTAGACAGTCGACAACAACAATAATAATAATGGTAGCAACAACAATAACTACGCGAAATAGACGAGAAAATAATCCCAGATTTTCGCTGGTCGCGACAAAAGTTTTACTCCGCCTGGGCACTTGTGAAATTTTTCGCTTGAGAAATACTTTTAACACTTTTCTGTTTGCCTTTTCCACACCGAATTCAATATGAAAATAAAGGATTACGTGCCAGCACTGTTTTCCAAATTTATGCTCAGCTAGGACTGGGGGAATGGGGTCCTGTAGCTGAGCTGACGTAGACGTTAACATTCTGGTGTATTCTGGATAATGGTTTGAGTGCTCAGCGATGCAACGAATTTGTTTTGACAGTTTATTAATTTTCTGTTTAGTCGTCCTTGAAATTTTTCAATTTCTTCATCTTGTTTGCTGACGCACTTGCGAAGGAGACTTCTGCCTGACTGGCACTGCGTGTACTTAATTGTTTGAAGGATACATGTAGTATGTCATTGAATATTTTAGGATTTACTACACCACCACTTAAGTTCATTCAATCATTTAGTCAACCACACACACCTCTCCACTTAACGAGCTCTTTGAAGTGGCTGACACCCTTCCTTCAAAATTACAAGCCAGTTGAATAGTTGAGTAATTTGTTTTTAAAATTTTCATTTACAGACATTTTTTGACCCCAGAAACAACTTTAATGTGAAAATAAAACACATCGTTTTTTCTTAAAAAAAATATACAAAATCAAACAATTTCAAAAAACCTAAAAATACGTATATTTTTTATTTTTTTATTTATATATGAAATCAGAAAAAAGTCATACGAAAAGAAAGGAAATTTAATCACCAGTATACACAAAAACCTCCCAAATGCTTTTTGAATTCCTTGTTATTTCGGGGTTTACATAAAACTCACTTTATCTCTCCATTCAAAACTTTAAATACTATAAAGTTCCAGCTGCAGAATGCCTCATTAATTTGTATAGAACCAGTCTGGCTAATAAATCTTCCCCCACCGGGTCTATGATTCCATTTTTAATTCCTAACTTCTTTTCTCTGTTAAGTTTTTATTTTTAATTGATAAATCGGTTGACGCCTCTGACAACACTTGACTGTGAATCGGGGCATAGCTAGTCGAAAGGAAAATAATGTTCCCCCACCGAGTGGGAGGCGTTTATTAGATGTTACTGTAATAAATGGAAATTGTCAGGCTGTGGGAAATTAAAAAAATTTTCATTTTATTCCATTTGTTTTATTCACAATAATTGGCTCATAAATTGGTGTGTATCTATAATTAGTTAATAATGAAGAGTATAGGTTATAAAACCTTATCAACTTAAATATATAGAAAGTGTGTTTTTAATAAATAAATAAATTATCAGGTTGTGGGAATTAAGAAAAAATTGTTTGCCTGAATAGCAAAAGAGTTTTGTAGTTATGGGTTCTTAAAGGTGACACCCTAATTAAACTTAACTTGTCTTTAAAATTAATCTTTTGGTATTAAACTTAACTTGTCTTTAATATTAATCTTTTGATATTAACACAACTCTTCTATTTTTTGCTCGCGTGCCGTTTGCCATTAAAAGAAAAAGAAATAAACATTCCTCCAACCCTAATCAGAGTGGTTTTCTTATCAAAATATAGTAGCTATGGCTAATTCACAATCTCTGGCTAACCCACAATATGCGCCTCATAATTCGCAAATGCCTTTTAATCAGATTGATATTATGGCTACATCTAGCGGGTTGTTAGCATTGGAAATGCCGCTTGATAATTGCAAAAACTTTACTGCCCTTTCATGACAATGCAACGCCGAAAATAAAACCGAGAGATAAATTGCATTTGTAATGCGGGGCAGAGCCAGAGCCATGTTTGAGTGCAAAAAAAAGTTTGTCTAGCGTCTAGAGGCGTGACCATGTTGGCCAACTTGGAGGGCCAGCTGCTGGTAATTAGCCAGCGCATTTACAGCTTGCCACTGACCTCTCAGTTTGTCTCAGTTTTGTCTGTAGAGGGCTCTCTTTCTCTTTTTGTGGAAATGCCGGGCTAGCGGGTTTGGAAGATAAGATTGCGAATTTGTTTGTTTTTGTAAAAAGTCGTCTATGTGTTTATTTTTTGCCTTCGTAGGAATTAGAGTAGCTCAGAACCTTATCGTTGATAACTTCCTTAACCTGCTGGGCAAAAATGAAGTCCAAGTGCCCCCAAGTGGGTTCGGGAATCTCGTGGAGGAGTCGCATATTGGGCAAATATTCGGGCAGGCGCAGCACATCCTCTTTGTTGGCCGAGCCATCGGCGAGTCCATAATACAAATAGACAGCGGAGGAAATTTTAGTCAAGTCATAGGACGGGGGCTCTGCCTGGCCATAGGCCTCCAGATTCTTCTTCGTGCCCCAATCGTACTGCCTGAAGTCGTTCGAGACATAGGACTGTACGAAATGTATGCCCTGGTTGGACGAAATGCCAGCGGGATGCGTTTCAGCCAGCTGCGGCAAGAGAGTCTGCCGGGAATTTCGAAAAGTTAAAGCAACTCTGCATAATGGAAATGTGAATTGCCAACTTACCACATTCAGGTTGCCTAGATCGGGTCCGGCCCACATCAGGAAGAGTGTCTTACAGTATTCCAGCATAATGGTTTCGGTGCTGCACATTGTGTCGAGCAGACGGGAGATGAAGGTATTCTGGGGAATGAACAGTTGGTTTTCGAGCAAGGAGGCGCCCGTTCCAGGTGTGCCGACATAGGGGGCGGTGGCCACGACAATGCCGTCGGTGACGTTGCCCATGAAAATGGGCGGGGCCAGCATATGGGCTGTCTTGATCTTCTCGTTGTATTCCGGTCGGAAGGAGCCCATCACAAAGAACGTGGTGCAGCCCTGGGAGTGTCCCACATAGTGGAGAGCCTTCTCACCCGTCTCCGCCAGCACATAATCGATCATGGCGGGCAGATCGTAGGCGCCAATCTCGTGCCAACTGAACTTCCAGAAGTACGGATGATTCACACTCATCTTCGTGTTCTGGCGCGAATACAGATTGCCACGAGCATTGCCCAACCAGACATCGTAGCCCGCATCGGCAAAGTTATAGGCCAGAGCGTTATCGGGTCCGTTCAGCAGGAAGCAATCGGAGCAGCTGAAGAGGCCGTGCTGTATGAACACCACAGGACGCTGCTCCTGTGCATTGTTCAGCTTGGGCGAGTAGGGAATGCGGAACATGTTCAGCACGTAGCCATCCTCAGTCTCCACGAAGTGGGACTCGCCGGGATAGCCATGGGACTTGATGCGATCCTCCTATAAGAGAAAAGCTAGACCATTTCAAAAACCAGCGACTTCCCAGTGATGCGTCAACTTTACCGAAGTGGTTATGGGCTTGAAAGGTATGTCGATGAAGGGATTGGCTTCCAAATCATAGGCAGCTGCGAAAGCCACCAATGTTAGTAGTAAACTGAATTTTCTTAGCATGTTAGCTGTCTTCCGAAGTTGCAGGCCGAATGACTGGAATGGCTCTGCTTGTGGCGATTTTTAATAGCTGGCCTATCTAATCTATAGATTAGCGCTCGAGTGGGCGAATTTTCGTTTTCGAACGCACATGTAATCATCAATGAAGTGATAATTCTCAAGATTTATGTCTGCTATCGTTCTGATAGCAAGAGGAAGCTCAAGAACATAAACTAATGTCGAAATCTATCGATTTATAATTGTTTTGTGGTGAACAGAGGCAATAAATTATTGAAGATAATACATAAATTCACATGCTTCATCACTTCTTGATGTTATTTTTGGCCAACTTTCAAGGTTCGCCCCCCATGGGGGTCTTTGAAATGGTTTATGGTGTTTATGCTTCAAATAGGAAATCATATCGATCGTCAGGTGTCATCGTTTGAGGAAACTAAGAATTAGCTGCGGTCAATAAATTATGAAGTTAATGTTAACAGCAAACATTTGATGAGTGGTTCGAAACAAATTCTTGAGAAAAGGTTCTTCCATTGTAATAAAAAAACAGATAAAGAGAGGCAGGTTCTGCACTTTATTGGACATTAGAAGAACCTGCTTTAGGTTTCATATTTTATACGAAAGGATGATTAGCTCTCCTTTTTTCCACCCCTTACTCTAGTATTCTCCATTGAAGGCAAACAAATAAGTATTTTCTCGAATTGAGCAGAGAGCCAGAAAAGCTCGACCCTAGCAATTGTCTTGATGTTTTTCTATTTCTTTAAATGGTCTAAGGTGTTTATGCTTCAACTAGGAAATCATATAGGTTGTTAGGTGTGGTCCTATGAGTTTGAGGAAAGTAAGTGTTAGCTGCTGATTAGTGGTTCGAAACAAATTATTAGGAAAATGTTTTCCATTCAAAGTAAAGCAAACAAAGAGAGGCAGGTTCTGCGCTTTGTACGACTTAAGAAGAACCTTGTTAAGCTTTCAAAATTTTATAGAGAGGGTTGGAAGGACGAAAGTGTGGATATCATATGATTGAGTCGCCCTATTATGCTGATTTAAATGATACGCTTATACTAAATGTGATCGAAAAAGCATCCTTCCTCGCCTCCCTCTAGTATTCTCCGTGGAAGGGTAAACATATAAGTATTTTCTTGAATCGAGCAGAGAGCCAGCAAAGCTCTACCCCAGCATTTGTCTTGCTGTTTTTGTTTGGCAACGATACCTAATTTCGCAGCGGATTTCAACAAATCGCTTTCTTGTGTTGTTCATATACAAGTATGTATGTAGGTACATACAAGTATATAGAGTATCCTATACCTTTGTTCTGGTTGTGGTTTTGTGGGATTTCGAGAGGTATGTATTTCCTTACAACAACTGCATGCATCCGCAATTTCAACGGCACAAATTATTTACGCATTGTGTGCAGCTCGGCGGAATTGTGGCGCTTCCAGTAGACTGAATCGCGGAATGCCACCCACTCGAACAGTCGAGGAGGCGTAAAGAGCGCGTATCTGCGCGGCTACGCCTGACTTGATGCGAACTTGGTCGCGAGTGACTGAGATTGGCATTAACCACAGGACGAATGTGCGCGCTCAAGGACTGCCATTGGCAATGACGACGACGGCGACGACGCAATGCAGATAAACCGAAAACTGAAACGTAAATGCGGTTCATCGAAATTATGTGAGTGGGCGAAATCAAGACAAGATTTTTTGCATTTTTCTGGCGTAAAATAGAACAGAAAACTGGAGGGGGAAGACTGCAAGCCTTGTCAAGTTTTCGAATGGCACACAAACCGATTTGGGTCTGCATTCTGTTGCCTTCGAGCACGCCTCTGCAAATTCAATTAAACGACTTAATTGCTGTTGATGAGCAGCCACTGTTTGCCAAATGGAGGCGCAACGTTGGCGGCAACGTTGCATAAAACATTGTCCTAAAAAAAGATTCATTTAGCAGTCTCGATCGTGACTTATCATAAATCAAAGCCACATCTTGCCAATGCCGCCGCACACTGTGGGCGCTCACTGCACATGTGGCAATAGCTTGAAAGCCGATGCTAATGCTCGCATTATGGCCAACTCTCAACACTTAACACTTGCTAGCTACTAGCTGCTACTGCTACTGCTACTGCCATGGTGACGAGGCGACGTGTCAGGCTTGTGTTAATTTGCAAACTTAGAGTGCCACTTGCAGACACCGGAGCTGCTGGGCTGAGGTCACGACTAAGTTGAATGCCACGCTAAAAATAAGCTGTGGCCCTTAAGTGCCTCCGGCCATTGCTAAATGGATATCAATTATTGATTTCCAAGTGCAAATTCGCTTAGCTCAGGGGCCTTAAAGTGTGGTTAGTCTAGTGTGGCAGAAGACATCAATTAGCTGACATTTTCTTGCTTTCAAAAATCAATAAAAAGTGTTCTTCATTTGACTCGCATATCAAATCATTAAATAAATACGAAATCATTTGCGTTAATTAAAACACATTTGAATCAACGCTTATAATAACAAAGTTTATTCCAATTATTGATATTTGTTTTACGTTTTTTATTCATAGCCTTATCACTTTTTAGGCACTTTATTTCCATATTTAAATACTCGCATGTGGGGGAAAAATAGCATGAAAAAATTATGGAAAGCAGTAGACAGAAAAATTATTTAAATAAACAAGATAATAAAGAAATAATTTAACACAACGTTTATTTAATGCAAGCATTAAAGTTTTTACAGGCTAGCAGATGAAAGTTCATGTATGAATGAATAAATGGTGTTGTTTAAACAAATTTTTTTATTTCAACTCCTTTTTTGTATTTAATTAAAAACTGGAAACTTATGTTGCAAATTGTTTGCTATTATGCATAACCAAAGTTAAAAAGCCAATCATTATTCTCAAAAAATTGTTAAAATGTAAAAAAACATGTTACAAATATTTCTCATTTATTCGCGTTCGTTAGTGTTGAAAGCTTTGTGTAATCATTTAATCTCTCGTTAAAAACTATTGTAAAAGTTAAAAGTTAAATACCAATTACCAAAATGCAAAGAATTAAATTTTTCGATGTAAATCGATCGATTTTCGTTATATTTTTCTTTTCTTCAAAAATTAAATAAATATTCTAAAATTGCAAAAACAATATATGTACATGCTTTATTCCGAATTAATATTATTATTATTAGTTTGAATCCAGAAATTGTTAAAATATAGAAACTAACACACACACAACTAATCAACGCTAATTAATTCAGTGTTCGAGTATAAAGTTCAGAGCCTTTTGTATTCGCGTCTATTCATAACGAAATCTATATATTCTTACATTCTGTTGAAATATATATATAATGTATTTCTTTTAATACTATTTACAACAATTAGGCACATATAGGATACAGGATACGAGTTCCTTGCATGTCCTGCATCTGTCTTCTGTTGTGATGCTCAGATTCTTAGACTGGATGGATGCATTCCTTTCTCTGGAGTTGCGGAGGGAATTGGCTGAGTTTTTTGTCTCCACCCTTAAAAGAAAAGAAAGTTCTTTATTATTTTTCTGAAAAAAAACATTTCTTTTCCGCATTTTCAATAATTTTTCTGCAACGTGATATTTACTATTATATTGCCATTTATGCCAGACTATCAATATTTCGTGCATTTAAATATATGTATATGAGGTATCAAAATGCAATATTTCCACACGAATAAATATGCTTCTTTTTCATATGTGCGTATTTTATTTTTATTGGGGAATATCACCTCTTTATTTTTATTTCTGCCCGCCGGCAATTGACAGGCACAATAAATTGTAAAATATGTGCAAAACTTATTTATGTATCTCGTGCTGGCTGCCTGCCGCCTAAATAAAAATAATAAAAGAGCTATCTACAGTTACAAATTTCTATATACTACATAACAGATTTTGCATTCAGTGGCTTGGCTCTGGATCTGGCTCTGGCTCTGGCAGAAAAGTTGGCTGTCTTTGCCTCTGAAAATATAAAAACATGCAGGAGGGTGGCGGGGGGGCGGCAGGCAAATAAATTTCAGGCCAGCACTCGCAGGCACTCGAAGCTCGAAGGGGTGGGAGGGGTGAAAAAAAAATTGAAACAAGCAGAAGAAGGAAAGTAAGTATCTGGTAGAACACTTTTTGGCACTTGCTTTCATGGACTATTTTGCAGACAAATCGTTTCGTTAGCCGTTGCAAAGTGAAAACTTTGAAATACTTCACGTACGCACACATTTTGCTGAAAATGCTCAAAATATTATAAACTGACAATTTTATTTAATTGTGCATAAATTAACTATAAAATGCCGCCGGCTGCTGGCAATGTTTGTTTAGAAAAACAAGCACACTTCATACGCCCATCTGTGCTTTAAACAAATCGATTGGAACATAAACAAACAAACAAATAGTTGCCGCTCACCACATATTTGTGGCAACATTTTTAACGTGCGGCCACTAACTCATGCAAAACCAATTAGTTGGTCTCGCATCGTGCCACATGCAACCAAAATGGGCGCATCCATGCTCCATATACAGAGTGCCTCAGTAGTGCTGTTGTTTTTTCTTCTTTCAAAGAATCTGCCTTTTGTTTAGTATCTCGCTGCTGCTTGCATCTGCCTCATTAACAACTTGAGTTGTTGTTGCTGTTGTTGTTGTTGTTGTTGTGGCATCTGCTGCTCATGCAACTGCAACGCTTTTTGAGTTTTTGCAACCTCGCTTGTTTGTGCAATCTTAAAGGCCGTTAACGCAATTACCAACACCATTCACTGCAGCGGGTGTTTTTGTTTTTGTGCTCAACATAGAAGTAACATTTATACTCTGAATGCAAGCAATTAAAACGGTAATGTTATACAACTTTATTGCAGTCCCAATAAATTGAAAGGGAGACATTTACGATCGGCTTAATGACAGCTGTGTGCAAAGATGTTTAATCAGTCTTGTATACTGTATCTGAGCTATTTTTCATCACCAGTCATGGAAATTGATAACGCAATTAATCTCTGAATTGAATCGATCTATCAAGAATGGATAGATTCCTTTTTTAAA